TGACACTTCCTAAGAGAGAAGTCGTATTGCTCTAGCTTTTTTCCCTTTTTATGACCTGCAGGATCTACAAATATCAAGCCCATGGCTATGCGTTCTCTCACCTTGAGGAACTCTTGAGTTCACTGGGGGGTGACACCTTTGTCAACATGACACAGCGCTCTGTAGTGGAGTCCCTGCTGGAGGTGGGCGTCACACAACGCTTCATCGATGATGTCATCATGGCCATTCTCCGGGCCAATTATGGCCAGTCAGTACTGGTGCCTGCATTTGCAGGTGAGTGCTACCCATCTTCCATTGCTCCAGACCTATTAAGTCAGGGCAGGGAGTCCTTTTTCAATAGGCCATTGCTCAAGCATGGGAGACAAGGACACGTTGTAGGCAAGCCTGGCATTTTACAACTTTAGCTAGCTTATTCTCTGACAGCTGCCTCCTCTGTACTTCTCTCTTTAGGGGCCATGTTACTAGCAGGAGCGCAAGGCAACAGATGGGCAATTGAAGGCGGCAACAACCTGGTGTGCTCAGGTTTGCTGAAGCTAACAAAAGCCACCATAATTCATGCCACGGTGACAGCTGTCTCTCTGCACAGTTCAGGTACGCCACACAAACCCATCTCTCTCTACTTCTCCCAAGATTGCAAATAAGACTAGAAGATCTCCGAGTAGCAGGACTAGAAATCTCAGAGAGCTGCTGTAGACCAAGTAAATGTACTGGGATGGATGAACAAATGGTCTGACTTTGTACAAGAGAGCTTCCTATATTCATATGGGTGCACTTCAAATCCAGAGAATTGAACTTTAAAAGCAGCTTAGAAAGAAGTGGTGTCTGGCTGCCAAGCTGGATGTGCTGTTCATTGGATAAATGCAATTGACATGCAGATTCTGTAAGGGAATTGCAGCGCAAGAGATGCCTGATCCACCCTAGAACTTATGGAAGGAAATGTAACATATTTTTATTCTCCCACACCCCTGGCTAATTCACCATCTCCAGAACATTTATTTGTTTTTCGGGGGAGGGGGGAGCCTCTGTTGGCGCTAATGGAAGGTTCTTCAGAAAAACCAACATTGGCGAGAATGCCTTTATTGAGCGGTGGCAAGGAGTGAAACACGCACACACAAGGTTATTTATATTCACAAAGTGTTACATCTGGTTTAGTCCTGGAATTCAGAATCTACTTGATATTGTTGCCTTTCTGGAGATATTTTTACTTAATACATGCAATAAGTGTTAACTGGATAGTGCACCACAGTGGTAGAAAAAGGTAGCAAGCGAGGATGACTTACTCGGGCTGAACAAAGCATTAGAAATGGAAATGTCACAAAGCAGGTTAGCATGAGCAAGGTGTCCCTCCACAAAGCTGTATAAGAGCCACATCCTCTGGAAGGCTCAGCATGGCTGCTTTGCAGCTTTCTCCAGTTGTCATGGATATCTGTGCACAGCTGTTCCAGTTTTCTCCAGGCCCAGTGGAAATGTCTGTGCTTGCACATGTGTGTGCAGACCACTTCTGAAGCTGCTGAGTCTTCCACAGGACATGGCTAGTTCAATGCTTTGAGGAAAGGGGTTTCCTTTGCTTTTTAGAGCTCTATTAGCTACAACTGTAAAGGAGGGACCCGGGCTCCAGTTGGGAGCTGTAACGCTAAAACTGGATTAAAGGTGGAAAAAAGATAGAAGTAGTGAAAAAATGCAGGAAGGTTATGGACAGAAATTGCTATCATCTGGACCCACTTTAAAAAATTCTGGATAATTGCACATTGGAAGCCACCTAAATGCCTTTGATGTAACAAATCCATTGATGCACGCAAAGAAGCAGGCAGAACACAACTAAAAACAAGGATCTTTATATTGGAGGACTGCTCAGGTTACTTTCTCTCTTCACTTGCTTTAAAGGTTGGCATATTTATTGCACAGAGATACACTTGAAGTTTCCTAAGTGCTCACAGTCTTTTTTTTTTTTAAACTAAGAAAAGGAGATGTTCCTGTATATAGGGTATTTGTTGTTGCTGTGATCACCCAAAGCATACCCAGTTGAGCAAACGTGACACATTTAGGGAGAATGTAACAAAATGGTAGATTACTTGCATTCTACTAAAATAAGTAAGGGATTAACTTATGTGCTCCCTTATAAAGAAGAGGGGCAGAAAACTATGCAAGAAGAGATAGAGCATTTTCAGGTGGACAGAATAAAAAGAGGGAGAAAAGAAAAAGAGATAACTAGTATATATAAAATGAAGAAAGAGAAACATTGGTGGTCCTTATAGTAAATAAATTATTCTGTGGATCAGCTGTTGTGGTGATGTACTTCTAGACAGAAACAACTTACATCCTATATTATTTCTTCATAAAGTATTATGTTAAATAAAATTTTAATTGTTTATAATCTACATCCCAAATGTAATAGCAGCAGATGTCTGCAACTTAATTCAATTTCTTTTCATATGATCAATATTCTGTAGTGTTTGACCTACAGAAGTCAAACACTAGTGAGATTTCCCTTTACTTATTTGTGACCAGTCAGAAAAATCCTCTCTATGCCCTTTGATCAGTTCCTATCTGCTACTTTTACAGGATGCGTGAGGGCTTATAGCTGGTTTAGCTAGCCAGGTAAGTCTTGAAAAATAAAACCAGCAGGCAGTGGGTGAGCTGCAGAAAGAATGGAATCAACAAAGAAGCATGGCAAACTGTGAGGTCTTAGCAGAATTGTTTCATGGGAAACTCTCACTTTAAAGCCTTGTCTATTCAGCTTCTTTGATGATGGTGGTGGTGATGATGATGATGATTTGCTTTGTAGCTGTCTATTTGAGTTAATGTTTTTTTCTATTTGTTGTCTGTACATTTTTATCCAGAAGGAAAAACCCTTTACCAAGTGCACTATGAAGATGAAGAAGGTCCAGGTTCCAACTTCTATGACATAGTAGTCATTGCCACTCAGCTGCATGACAGTAAGAACAATATTACCTTTCAGAATTTTGATCCTCCTATTGCTGAGTTCCCTGGAACCTTTCATACCACGGTCACCTCCATCGTTCATGGCTACCTCAACTCCTCATACTTCGGCTTTCCAGATCCCAAGCTTTTTCCTTTTGCCAGTATCCTCACCACAGAAGCTCCTGGCCTCTTCTTCAATTCCATGGATAATATTTGCCCTGTCAATATATCTAATACCTTCAAGCGAAAACAGCCCCAAGAGGCTGCTGTGTGGCGTGTCCACTCTCAGCATCCTTTGGAGAAACAAGAGTTGAAGATTCTGTTCCGTTCTTATTACTCTGTTCAGGTGACAGAATGGCAGGCCTATCCTGATTATGGATCAGTCAAGAGCCTCCCACCTATTATCCTGCATGACAGCCTCTACTACCTCAACAGCATGGAGTGGGCAGCCAGCTCCATGGAAATGTCTGCCGTGGCAGCCAAAAATGTGGCTCTCTTAGCCTACAATAGGTGGAATCACGATGTAGAGAAAATAGACCAGAAAGATTTAATGCACAAAGTGAAGACTGAACTGTGAACTTAGCAAGCACTGCGAGATAAGACTTTATTGCATGCAGAGTGAGGAGGGTATTCAAGGCTAATCTAGTGCCCTTCCCTGACCTGCTGTGTTCCAGTTATATTGGATTGCAGTGTCTGGAATTCCCAATCAGTAGTAGGAGATTCTGGGAGTTGCAGTCCCCACACATCCCAAAAGCCTCCAGGTTAAGGAAGGTCGCACTGCAAATTTAACAGAAGTAAAGTAGAGCACTAGCAAATTTGTGTAATTATACATGCATCTATTATCTGTGGTCATGGCAGTCCCTTTAGCATAGCATCACTGTGTTTCAAGGAGTCTATGAATTAATGCTTCTGTCTATCTAGTTATTCAGGGTTCTTAGATAATCTTGGAAAAGGATTGAAACTAAATAGCATCAAATTGCATTTGGGCTCTCCTGACCTGCTGAATCATATTCATACAGCACAGTTGTGCCTATCACCCAACAGCTGCAACTCAGGATTGAAACTTCCTTCTTGTCTCTCCAGCTGCAGTCTTCTCAAATAATTTATACTGGACTTTATTCTTGTGCTTCAACCCCTTAGCTAAAGGAAATGGCACTTTCAGGGGCATAAGACCTTTTATGACTCTTCTGTTTTCCTGGCATCCCAGGTTCTGTGCTCCCTTATGTTTCTTGTAAAGCCCCATGGACTTAGATCAAATGATGGTGAAGCAAAGGAATGTGTGTTGGAACATTGGACAGTGAGAGACGCTAAATAGCCTAATGAATCGTGGAACTTTTTATCCACTACCCTGATAAACTTACATGCGCACAACTAATGGCTGATCTGAAGTTGCCTTACCAGCCATCCCATGGAGATGGGTCTTTTTCCTGGATCGAAACAGACTGAGCCTGCTGTTCTCCAGCCTTTGGCTAAAAAAGATTTCCTTGATTTCTAAACCAGGAGAAACCACTGGACTGACATTCAGGAATTTTCCTGAGTAGATTCCACAATATGCTAGCCATTCAGTTGTGCTGATCCTGGGAATCTTGAAAAGAGTGTGTGAACTGGGGGCTTGAACACTTGCTACTTGCTGCTAATGAAGCTGGGCTCCCATACAACAGCTGTGTAGGGTAAAGGGTAATTTGCTTCTGCTAATCCCAGATGCAATAAAACAGTGAGGCTTCCCATTTTTCCTCCCAGAAACTGGAGAAAAAACTTAATTTCAATTGTTACCTTGTGTACTGCATGGATATTGATAGAGGGGCTTTTTTGTGGTTTTGTGTTTGTTTTATGAATATTGTTAAATCAATGAAGTGTTTGCAGAATCAGGTGAGCGACACACTTTATGGTCAAACAGCAGAACTGCCTCTTGAACAAAATGATGCAAATTCTTCCCATTTCCAGAAAGAGCAGAATAAATGGGCCTAGCTACCCTCTAATGAGATTTTTCACTGTACCTTGAGTTACAGCCTTTAGCTGACCTGTGAGGAACTGCAAAAATGAAAATAGTGTTATTGGCTTGTTGAACCTGGGCCCTTCTGCAAATAGATTATGTCCTCAGCCCCTGAGCTGCAGTTCCTCTCCACAGTGAAGGATAAATGGATGAATCGGGTAAAAAAGAGGAATTGGCATAGGTTGGTTATTGCAGATACCCAGGTCCCTCACTGTGTGTGCACAGTAATGTGCATGGTGGGTTTCTTAGGCTCTCTTGCTGCCCTCTCAGTCTACTAACTCTTGGTACAAATGCCACCCTTAGTGCTCCTTTAGCTTCCTGCTGATATGCGGGCCCTGTTATCGGAACTGTGAGTGTGGGACTCCTGGGGCTGCTGGTATTAAGATAAGGTGTTTCTTGATAGCGTTCTAAAAGGTGAACAGTAGCCTGCCAAACAATCTTGACTTAAAAAGCCTCTCACTTTCCTCCACTGCTTGACAGAGTAGGCTTATTCTCTGCTGCAACTTGAAAGGCAGTGGAGCACTCTAGCTTTAAACTGTTGATGAGTAGGTTCTCACTGGGCTAACCACAGTGTGGTTTGGCTTAGTATTTTGTAAGGACCCACACCATCAAGTGTGGTTTAGTAATCAGACTTATGAATGCCACAAAGTGTGAACCCAGCTAGCTAGTTCTGCCAAAGTGTTTTATACTCACTGTTCTAGTACTGTTCAAGAAGGATGCTATAAAAGGTGCTTTTTGAATGCATGAAGCCAGCTGGATGACTTTGGGCCAGTCACTCTCTTAGCTCTAGGAATAAGGTAATGGCCAGCCACTTCTAAAAATCTCGCCAAGAAAAACTTCATGGAATTATCTGGGTGGTCAACAGGATTCAAGACTGACTTGAAAGCACACACATACAGACAATATATACTGGTCTATACTGTATATTGATCAACTCTAAAAGTTGGCCATAAACTCAGCTTTATAAGCTGAGTAGTCACCAAGCAGTTTGAAAGCCTGAAAAGAGATACACATTTTAGCCTATATCATGCAATGCCTTTTTCCTGCCCTCACTCGTTTCTAATGTTTCTTCTCTAAATTCCTATGCAAATCAGGATGCCAGATAAGAGAAAAAATGCCAGTGGGGACTGTGGCTGTAGCTTCATAGCAAGTGCTGTTATCATTTAAGCGAGGAAGTAGCCTGATCTGCCTTGGTACGGGCCTAAAGCACTAATGGGGCACATAATGAGTAATTTGCTGGCTGAGTATATTGCCAGCCTTCTTGAGGGTAATGCAGAGATGGGAGCTGAGCAAGTGACTTCAGCATCTGAAAGTACATTGGTGTTTCCCATTTGGCAAAAGAACAGAGAAGTTTAGAAGAACAGGAATAGTACTTAATCCATAAGAACTTGAAATAGGAACAGGAAATCCCTTCCTCGTGTGTCCTCAGAAGATGCAAGTGCAGCCCACAGCAATGGTCTCCATAACCATCTTGTACTCTTTATGGCACTTTTTCTTCTTCCTGTAAGGCTTAGTTGGCTCACACAGCATCCGCCGCACTGGGATTTTGCTATAGATAGGAATGCTGACCATGGTGCGATCCTCCTGCATGGTGAAGGGATTGATGCATCCTGCACACAGACAGTGTGCCTCTGGGATGTCAACTGGAACACGGGATGCATCATGATTTATCCTAAAGGAAAATGCGTTGACATCAAAACATGCATATTCTTCTTGGTGGCTGGTAGGGTTGTGCAGCAATCTGAATATGGAGAGGAAAAAGTGATTTGGGATATGCATGTTGCACCTCTTGGAAGCTCCTTCAAGAAGCTCCTGCTTTTCCTGGGGATCACACAATCCCAGGAAAATATGTGTTTGACTGAAGAAGGTGCAACATATGCAATATGCCTGCCCATACACACAGAATCACTGTTTCCTTTTCAAATCCAAATGACAGGATTTAGTCAGGACTAGGGAGATAGTGCATCACTGGAAGATGTCCCAGAATAAAGGGTGGCAGACAACAACTACCAATTGTAGCACTTCCAGTGCTTTTGTAAGGAAATGCCAAGGACTTCTTTCTCCCATGAGAAAATTCTGCACATGACCCATTTGCTCATGGTCATATGGTAGGGAGGACTCGTGGTTCAACAGGGGGACAACAGGGCAAATGTCCTCTACATAGAAAAATGTTACAATAGGCAACTGCTTCCACTTGTGGGAGCACAAGTAACCTTTCCCAATCTGGTACCCTCTAGAAATGTTGAGATGTGAACTTCTAGAATTCCCAATCAATGGCCCTGCCAGCCAAGAATTCTTGTAGTTGTAATTCACAGATTGGGAAAGACTGACTTAGAGTAATGCTTTCTTTTTAAATGGTCATAGATTTGTTCCAAAAAATGATGCCATTCAATTAAGAAGATTGCTTAACTAAGTTACAGAAGTAATCAGAAAGCTGTACCTCCATGCAGGTGCCAGCAAGTCTCTTCTGCTGTGTCAAGTGGGTCAATCCCCCTCTACCACCATCAATATAGTAGCATCCATTGGTATCCATAAATTTACAGACACATGATCCCAAGCTTCTGTGTCACATTTTTCCTCTGTTAGTCCTTGAACCAGAGCCAGGCTTAGCAATATCTGCCTAGAAGTCCTTATAGCTTAAATGCCACATTCTGTGGCTGTACTGTTGACTGTAGGCCAGAAGCTGATACAAAGCACTGATGTATCATAGCTGAGCAAAGCTAAATGCCAGTGAAGCAGCAGCGATTCCATGCACCACTGGAAATAATGGGATAGATTGCATTCCTTTCCCTCCCATGAAGCAGAGTGTAAATGGATCCAATTCTTTTACTGCTGGATCTGTTAGAATTTGTGATCTCCAGTTCTTAGTGGATGAATGAAATTACTTGTTCAGTGTTCAGAAATACAGCAAACTCATGGACCATTCAAAACACCACAAGAGGGGGATACAGTGCCACAAACTCAGACAACTAATTTTTTTTACTTACCTTGAATAACTTCTTGGCTTCTTGATCTGAAGATTGAACAGTGTTGAAAATTCATACTAATTCAGGTTTGTTCATGAATGAGCTATAGAACATATCACTATATAGGCTTTTCTAGGTAGAAGGTTCAGTTTGACAATTACTATTTAAATCCATTACAAGTACAGGCAGTCCTTGCTTAATTACAGTAACTGGGACTGAAAACTCCATCGCTAAGCAACATGGTTGTAAAGCACAACATCAAAGGGCCACACTGACTTATGATGGCAGTTGCAGCAGTTCCGGTTGTGGTCATTAAATGAATCCTGCACAGTCATTAAGTGTGATGTCACATGATCATCATTTGCAGACCTCCTGCCAGCTTCCCCATTGACTTTGCTTGTTGGAAGCCAGCAGTGAAGGTTACAAGTGGCAATTGTGACTTTGGGACACTGCAACCATCATAATTGCGAGTTGGTTGCCAAGCGTCCGAAACACAATCATGTGACTATGGGGATGCTGCGACAGCCAGTTGTAAATCTCCTTGTTCAGTGCTGTCATAACTTCAGTTACTGAACAAGTGGTCATTAAGTGAGGACTACCTGTAAGCCCTATTTTGTCAACAGCACATGCTGCTCGGAGGCTTTTTGCATGTAGGACTCAATTTCTGATGATACCAAGATGGGTTCTTTCCTGTCACTTCTGCTCTGGACAATTCAAGTGTCCCAATTTACAATAATTAAACTAGGGGTGCCGCAAGTCTGTGAATCCCAACAGAGCGTACTACAACCTAGATCCTCCCCAAAGGACTAAGCTTTTAGTATTTCTGCTTTAGGTTCTGTTATATCCCTGTCTATCCCATATGAGTTGAGTTGGCTAATGAACCTGAAGCATTGAACCAATCACTGAAGTCTGGGATTACTTTGATTTCATTACATGGCTATGTTACAGTGAAATTCAGTTTTAGATTGAAGTTCATGATGCATGCTTCCTTTCCTATTTTAATTTCACTCCCTTAATAGCAGTCCAAATATTTTTGTTTAGAGAAGTTATTTAGGAAAATGCTATTAGAAGCTGTTCCCAGTGCAAAATTCTAAATGGGAACATGGAATGGCTGGAGATATACTTGTCCTGTTCTAATCCAACCTATTCACTATACAGAATTAAATATAACCTTGATGCTCAGATGACCCTTAGCAGTCTGAGCAATACTAAACAGAGTTAAGCGACATTCCACTAATCTCCAGGAAGGCTCCCCAGAGGCTGTAGGATTTCTAAGAGGGTCATCAAAACCACTTTTGGGTCCCCATAAAGTCTCCACTTCTACCCCAGTTCTGATATTGGACCTCTTAGACCAGAAAGAGTAAATATGGAGTTTGCTGGTGTTGAACAGGCTCATGGATCCACTGTATCCAAATCCCTCTTAGCTACCTGACAGACCAGTGTGTAATCTACACCAGCCATGGAGATGATGTAAATATATTCCCCCAAGTCCTCCCTTGGAGACCCAGTTTGGTGTAGTGGTTAAGGCATCAGGCATCAGGCAACCACGAGTTCTAGTCTCACCTTAGACACAAAGTCAGCTGGGTGACTTTGGGCCGGTCACTCTCTCTCAGCCCTAGGAAGCAGGCAATGGCAAACCACTTCTGAAATCTTGCCAAGAAAACTGCAGGGCTTTGTCCAGGCAGTTGCCAGGAGTTAACACTAACTCAGATACCAAAAAAAAAAAAAGTCCTCCCCACCCCAGGCCTGTTTTACTTGACCCTGTTAGTTTTTATTACCTTTTTGGCTTTTGCCCTTTCATGCGCAAAGCCAGCAGTTGAGTATAAAGGTAAGATCTCTTCCCCTCCCTAGCAAAATAGATTGTTAGCTCGTGGACTGCTTTGTGTGTCGTGTTGAGAATAAAATACTGCTGGGTCACCATGCTAAAGAAGCTGAGAAGTTCTGTGAGTGGGTGAAAGAGAGAGACTCCTCCAGTTACCAAATTTTGCTCCACCTCACCTATAGGCCCATGGAGACAAACTCCTCTTGTTCGACATCCAGAGCCTCAGATTGACCTGGCATTTACTGTCCAGCAGCTCAGAGCTATTCCGCAGCTGGTTAACCATCTCCTGAATGCTCCGCTCATAATCCTCCACGAAGGTGTAGTCTGTGAGGGCCCCCAGATTTACCCTCAGCACAGGGTCAGGCGAGGATTCCTGTGCCCGCAGATGTTGTTCCCTGACTTTGGCTGTGCCTCTCCTTCTTCCTTTTGTTCCCCTGCTTTGCTCTTTTGATGCTGGGGTGGCCTCCAGGGCCAAGGAGAGGCAGAGAGCACAGAAAAGCAACTGGAAAAGAAAACAGGCAAACTGTATTCATTCATTTGCACAAACCTAGGTTCTATAAACACAGCATCATGTGATGGTTTTAAAATGAAACAGAAACTCTAGCAAATATCAAAGAACAACGGGCAAACCAACACAAAATAAGATACAGTGGCAAAAAAGCAGAAGCAGGTCTGATGTTCAGATATAACAAAATATTGTTGACCATTTAATAAAAACTGATTAATAATTTTGATTTCCTACTGGCCAACCTAGGGTATCCTCCCACGAAACTTTTGGCAGTAACCTAAAAGCTGGTGATTCACTCAGGATTTTTCAATGAGCTTGAGGACTGAGTGGCAACTGGATTTCTCCTCAGTCAAAGTTTGACTGTCTCTGACAGTGCCTGCTCTGTAACCCTGGGTCCATGAGCACAGAGGCACTATGCTCAAAAAACCTGTTTTGTTTGTTTGTTTGTTTAAGGGTGAAAAGCAGTACTTCCATGAGATGCCTGGCAATAATCTATGCACCTCATCCAGAGATTTCCTGTTTGATTGACAGGGCATTTCGAGCATTCTCAAGTTTTCCAAGTTCAAGTGTTTTGTTTCAAGGGCTCCTCTGTAGGAAACAATAGGAACATGAGATAAGCCCTATTCCTTGTTCCCCCACTCCCTGGCTGCCAAAGTAGGTCACACTGAATGCTATCTATCACACAACCCACAGAGATAAATATTTTTAAAAAGAAAATTCTCATAGTAAACGCTTGAAGCAACCCTTTGTCAGAATAACCATGCTTTTTGCCCTTTCTATACTCAGAGTTTGTTTTCTTTTTAAAACATTCCTGTTGCCAAAATTCCAGTGGAGCTGATTTGTTTGAAACTCAGAAAAAAAAATGGGCATTTTATCATTTCAAGCACATCACTTACATATCAGCTGCTCCCAGTTTGGCAGTCTCCAGATGTGATGGGAGTTCCAGAATTCCCAGCAAGGAGGATGAGAATTGCTGGCCCGACACATCTGGAGGCCTCTGGGCTTGGAAGAGCTCTATGAGATAAGCCCACTGTCCACTCATCTCTCCAACCCTCTCCTCCTCAGCCCTTGCCTTCATTTCTTGCCTTGGCTAAGGTGAAACAACAGGGCTAATAAAGGAAGAGCTGCCCTGTGATGCCACAGGGCATGTGTCTGCTTGGCAGGCTACTTCTCTTACGTGCGTCTGTTGGGGTTGCTGGGACAGATGTGGATCTTATGCGTATCAGGCAGCCGTTCCAGTGTGCCAGCAGCTGTGCTTTTGTCTGTCCCTTTGTCCCCACTGCAGGGGTGCTTCGTTCTCTGGGTTTGTCTCTATTTGGGAGGCTGGATTTTGCCTCCCCCACTTTACAGCGCTCTGAAAGCAATTGCTCATCCAGACAGAGTTTACCCTTCTCAAAGCAAACAAGCCTGACAGGCCATTAATAAACAGAAAGTAAATAGAAGAGGCACCAAGAGGGCCAAGCACCTACCAGCTTGGGAGCCCACTCCATCTCGGCGGCGGGTGGGTGAGCAAAGGCTCTGCAGATGCCTGCCTCTGCCGCAGAATGAAGGGAAGGAGATGGGGCCGGGCGCTTTAAAAAGGAAAGCAACAACCCCTAATCTCTTCATCGCCCGGGAGGTGGGCCTGCCTGGCACCAAGACATTTTCCCAGGATGCCAGCAAGGATGTTGACAGAAGGGACAACCGTCAGGGCTGTCTGCTATCCAGCAAGCAGCCTGGTTTCCCCGGGATTAGAACAACAGGGTAGCCACAGGACAGGCAAGCTTGATGGAGTGGAGTGGAGTGGAGTGGAGTGGGGGGAGCATTAAGCAAATTAAGCAAATGCTTAATTAAGGCCAGGTATAATCTAACCATAGTGGCAGGATTTCCAAAACTGCTCAGAAGAGAAAGACAACAGTTAGATCTTGGCCTTGGAGAGCAGGGAAGAGAAGAACATTTGTTGAGAGGAGGCTTGGTGTGTGTCTAAAGACCCTGAATGGCTGGGCAGTTCAATACTGGGCTTGTGCAACTCCTGGAAAGTGTCAGAGTCGAGCCGTTAGCTTAACCAGAGTCCTGGGTGGTACATGGAGCAGGGCAAAGGCGAGTTAGGGACATCATGAAAATGGAAGGGCTGCCCACCCAAACGGGTGGTGAGCTTAAAAAGGCAGAGCTTAGAAAGCAGGGAACAACTCTCCTATTTATTGAGCATCAGGTCTGATTTTTTTTTTTTTTTGTATAAAGAAGCAACTGGATTTACTTCTTTATCAAATTTCTCCAGAAGTAATGAAACTGACCTGAATGGGAGAGAGAGATCAGATCAAAAAAGAAAAAAAAATGGTTTCAGTGCCGTAGAATTAAAAATGGGATTCTGCATAAACCTGGGCTTTGGTTGGACTAAGATGGACAATAAGAAATGGCCACTGGATACTCAAGCCTTCACAGTTCCCTTTCAATGCTGTCTGCAGTTTAAGCATCATCCGAGATAAGGAAAGTAAACCAGTGGGAAGTATGGCATTGTCCTGTTATATTATCATTTATTTAAAACTATTTCTTTGTTGGCCAAGATCAGGTGCTGTGTACTGACGTTCTAACCCTTGTACTGTAGCATGTGTTACCTGCATCTACCCTTCTTCAGGAGAGAAAATAAACAGATAACTCCATTACCTATGTTTAATTGAATTTAAATCCCATTACATTAGTTTCCAGCAGGGTTTCCAAATACCAGACTAGCCAGGTCAGTCTAATAGATTAAGAGAGGCATCATGCATCTTGCATTCTTGCCATACCCTAGGAGTTCTCCGAGAAGCACTTTCTCATGCTGTCAACCGTAGATATTTTTTCTGCAGAGAAAAAGAAGCAACACTGGGAAATACTGGAGATGAGAAATGGCCAATCATACAGAGAACTCCAAGGAAATTATGTAAGTAAGGCAGGTTTACATGAAGTTCAATTACAAAGTGCTATTGCTTTAGGAATATTTTATAGGCATTTTTAAATAACAGTTAAACAGCAAAACATTCATTAAGTAAAATATCTATCTTATCTTAGATCTTATCTTATTATCTTATCATGTTATCTGCTGGTAACTGTTTTTCCCCCAAAAATTGAGGGGAAGAAAGTATTTGCAAGTCTTGTCAAATATTGTGGCCCAAATAAGAAAGCAAATTTCTCTTTATGTATTTCAAAAGTTTGTCTATCGGGGCATCAGTAGGGGTAGGTCCAAAAAATCAAGATGGTGGCTGTAAAGGGGGGCGGGGCTTTAGTTGCATGACAGTAGCTCCCATTTTTACTTTTTTTGACCCAACCTGCCTGTGGATGCTCCTGTTGCCCACACAAGTTAAGAAATCACTATGACTTGGATTTCCCATATTGTATGCCTGGCAAGAGTTTCTGCATCTTTGTTTTGTTGTATCAATATATCTATGTGAGAGGAAAGCTGCACCAGTTAATTTTTTGCCTCTCAGACAAAGCCGTTTATAATTCTGTGCTTTTTTGCATGTCTAACTCCAATTCATGAGCCTGGTGGTCTAATTTTTTTCTACTGCTTCTGGAATCTAGTCCTTATTACTATTCATTGTTTGTGCTATCATTTCCTTCTGCTGTTATTGATATCTATTGCATAACCCTAAAAATGGCCAGACAAGATTTTAACTACTCAGTGGCCCATAATAGTGCATTACTGATTCTACCAACTCAGCAAGTGAGTCTGTTGCCAAATGTTGGGCTCCTCTGATATCGGAGATGTTAGGATTAGATTCCCATCTCTAAGGATGAGTCTGTGTGCAGAAGCATCTTCAGTGTACTCCAATTTTGACTGGAAAAGCTCTTGTGAGGAGATCTCTTGGACTTTTTCCAGTCTTAAATCAACTCAACCAGCTATTTAGCCTTGCAACATTTTTTTTTAAAATACTGGTACTAAGTATACTGAAGGAGATGGATACACACAGGGGAAGGATACACACAGGGAGTACAGACAGGGGATAGATGTAATAGATGGTGGGGATATAATACACCATCTATTACATGTAAATTAGATGTTAGACTTACTGTACTGCTTTTAGATTAGGATTTGCAAGACAGCAAAGGCTTGTTTTGAGAAACACCTGCTGTACTGTGTATTGTGAACAGTTTACCAAGTCTCTGATTAGTATTTTAGCTGAATTGCCCCATTTGGTGAAGACCAGGCATGGGGGAGCATGAATAGATCTTCCACCATTCCTTTTTTCCTTAATGCTGCAAAAAGGGGTACTTACATTTGGTTGGGATTATGACACATGGGGAATTATTCTCCATTTTAATCCTGAACCTATTAGGAAGGGCAGGTACCTGTATGGGACAGCCAATACATTATGACCCATCGCTAGACCTTAACACTTTTAGATCAGTACAGAATTTGCTGCATGATGAGCAAGTTCTGACTCATTTAGCAAATCTGCGTGGTTAATGGGTCTGTGCATACCACTGTCTTATCCTATATCCCACATGATCCTTTAACCAAGATTTAATATTGACCTAAGGTTTAATCATGTAAACTCAGAATAGCTGCAGTTTTGGATTAGTAGGAACTGGCCTCTAAAACACAGGTTACTTATGGCTTTCAGTTTCTGGTACCTACTAACCAGAAATGGCAGCTGGTCTGGGTTTGCATGACGAGCTGAACCTTAAATAACTTTGAAACCTGGATTAAAGAGCTTTATGGAATGGGTGAGATTGCTGCATGTTCAGCTCCAAAAACCAAGCAGGGTGACTTAGACTGCCATGAAAACACCATCCATGCTTCCATTGACTCTGTGTCAAACATTTCACTGGGAAAATGTCACTATCCTTTACACCTTCACTTGTATTTCTCTTGCATAAATATAAATTGTTTGCGCTCCCAACCTTTTTTTAGTAAATGACTGGTGATGTATAATTTATAATTTAATCCCATGCACTCAGTTTCCCAACCTGGTGCTCTCCAGATGTCGTGGACTTCTTTCCCCAGCCAATATAAACAAACAAACATGGTAACTGGGCTGTGGAAAATAGTCATATTTGGTGGGTGCCTGGTTGGAGAAGGTTGCTGTACACCAAAGCTGTTTTCTGTGGGCACTTGTAGTTTCAATAATGTGTTGGCACACCTGGTTTGCAATCACTTGCATTCAGACTTCTGCCAGATAGTTCCATCTGGAATTTGCAACAGGACTTTTCCGTAATTAATGTTCTGAAATCTATAATCAAGCAATCAAGCAATGTATTAAGCAGTAGAATCCCCTTGACTGAAAACAGATCCCTTTCTTCCTCTTGAATAACTAGGATGTTGTTGTTGTTTATAATGCCCAAGTAAGTCGTGGGGGTGACCACATTTCTCAGCATTGCAGTCTGCATACCAAAACCTCCATAGGGGCCAGAGCCACAAGGCACATACACAGTCAAAGAAAACAAGTCAAGAATGTTCACAAATGTGTTTATTTTAAAAAATAGCCAATTATATTTGCCAACGCTCAGGGTTTTTTCTCCAGCGGGCACACACAGAATTCCTCTCTCTTGGTGTCATGTATCCTCCAGGTACGCTTGCAACCTAGCCAGCCTGACACCAATCCATCCACGGTGGTTGCTTTTCAAGCTCAGCGTCAATTATTTGTAACAGTTTTACATTTGCTATAAATGTATTTGAAATGACCCAGTGGTATCTTGGGATTCTTCTTTTTTTTTTTGTCCATATCTTTGGTTTGGATAGTGGAGGGAACAGGATGACAGAGCAATATGATAACCACCTCTGTCTTATTTATGAACCTATACAGTAGATGAGGGATGAGTTAGCTAATGAGAAGCTGATTAGCTTTTGTGAAGATGCAGGCAGCCTAATGCCAGCAGGATGTGATCCTGTGCATTTATTTTTAAAGATAGATGACAAAATACTTATGCAGGTTGTTACAGTTCTGTGCTGGTCAAATCAGAAAATGGCTGCCTGGCTTGGATTCTGCAGAGGAAAGAAGGAACTGGATGTTGTTCACCTTGGATCTCGTGCCCTCTCTACTAATGCCTTTTTCTATCCTCCAGTCACATCTTATTACTCAAAGGGGATATAACACTACTACCAAGATTCTTCTGGAGAAGCTGGATGGGTAAAATATAGAACCTCATAACACTGATAAATGCTGGTCCCCTAATCCCTTATTAGTTTTCAAGGTCAGGCAATTTGTAGTTTCCAAAACTAGTGTTTTGTTCTTGTTTTGGCAAAGCAGTCTCTACTTACTTGGGGAATGAACTGAACATACTACCTTTCTCTACCATATTTCTGTTGAAGTAAGTACCAGTGAACAGAATGTATTGCTAAGTAAGGCCGCTTCACAGCAGGCAACCATTCTGAAGGAGTTAATTCCTCCTTCTGAATCTGGGCCTCATTGATGGCAGCTATTTATATCTGTGTACCTGGCCAGGCAGCCTATTACACAGAAGCCCTCAAATAAGGAAGCAGTATACCTTGAAGCAACCCCCATTTGAGTCAATGGAAACTGCTGTGTAATGTGATGTCATCCTCTGATGATCCAGGATGCCATCACTATTG